TTCGCGCTCGCGCGTGAGTTAAAGGCGCGTAAGTTACACCGTCGCTAATGCCCGGTGCCCGTTCGGGAATATTATTCCCGAGTATAGGAGTTCTTTCTTACGAGGAAACCGGAAGAACCTTCGCGATGGAAGTTGCCTCGTCATTCGTAAGGTCGACGTCTGTGTGAAAGTACCCTTACTCTCGTTGCTGTGTCTAATAGAGACTCTTACTCTTCGTGGCTACTCTTTAGAGCTAAACTCTCGAGTGGACACCAGACACGAGGTTGTTGCCCCTATTTCGGAATATAAAAATTGTGTTTGGTGGGTCGTATAAAGGTTTACGAGCTGTTAAAATTATCAGGAGTAGCGAAAAAATGTTTGCTTCTGCCGTGTAGGGTTCTTGGAGGCATTTTGCGTGACGTATGTGGCACCATAACTGAACGCATCGGGGGCCTGGATGATGTTACTCCTCACTTTTCTTAATGAAGCGGCGTATAAATCATTGAATTGCTCGATGGCTCACTTAACCCTCCGTTGCAGAGTGCTTGTACCTTTGCAACACCTACTGGTAAAAGTTGTCTTTTTAATGAAACAAATCATTTATTCTTCGAGCGTTAAAAAATTAAAGTTTAGGTCAATGTACTAGTTATTTAATAATCCAAGTAGTTTTCAATTACTTTTGTTCCCTTCAATTTTGATTAATTATGTTTGACGGTCTGAATATTTGCGTCTGACAGTTTATGTTTGACATACGGGTGTGTAGTAAACAAACGTTTCAAGTGAATTTAAGAATAAGAATCTAGGAGATTCGGATGTGGGTGACCAGCAAACTAGGAATGAATCCTCTACGATCTATCCATCTGTTAGAAACTTGTTCGTTCATGAATTGTCCGGCTACTTTATTGAAAGAGGATGGTGCACCGTCATGCATGAATCACGTGTGACATGTAATGTTTAATGGTACTTCCAGTAATTCGCATAATTAACTACTTAAGAAATTGATATAAGATTAACTCGTTAATCTACTTTACAATGATTTGTCGACCTACTGTTAAAGGAAAGACAAATTAACAAAGTCATCGAATATTGTATACAAGTTTAGTAAAATAAATTTTACTAGCATAGTATCGAAGTACAAAATATAATAATTAGGCACCTACTTGAATTTTTGTCTCGAAACTGCATAGGAATTCGGATGTATGTCTATTCACCAAAAATGATTGTAATTGATTCCCGCAACAGGAAATAATTTCTTCAGAACGATTTGAAATTTTTTTTTCGCCGAAAAATTTGTTCCCATTAAAATTTTTCCCAAGGGTGGACAGACACCCTCTATACAACTTTAAATATAAATAATTAAAGATCGATACTTCCATTTAACAAATATGAGCAATTTTTTATTTATCAGCTCTTTCTACGTGCGAGCAAGGAACACGATTTCTCAAAATTATGATCCCTTAATTGCGACCTAATTTTTGTACAAATTAACCCAACCGCGAGAAGAGGTCTCTCGGTTTTTACTACAAGGAGCTATGAAGAATGCCCCTGAGTTCACGACGCGAGAGAAAACCGTCTTTTGCCTCATAAATTGCGTTTTAATGATAGTAATGCAATCGGTCATTAGTTTATGCGACGCAAAATCCTGGTCAATAGTGAAATAACCATCAATTTTCATTGCTAATTCTATTGTAAATTCCATCACCTTAACGCTTCACTATACACGCGTTGATTGACTATTTAATTTTCTCCTTCTACCTTCTACTACCACTTCTATTGGCATGCGAAAGCAATTTCGGTTTAGTTCAATTTATACAGCTTCTAGTTCGATTAGTATTTGCCATATCGACAAATTTACAGTGGTTTCTATATATCGAATTTGACATTTACAGACGCATATTTAGTCACAGTCAGCTATATATCAAACAAATATTAACTTTGGTCAATACGAAGAAAACAGTATTTATCATTTACATAAGTTACAAAGACTTTCATTTCCATCGATGATACGAAAATTAAAATTAAAATAAATTGCTCAGATTTTTCGTAACTTAAAACCGCAACGAAAAAGTATCGCGACTTATTCCGTTAACTCAGCTTGTTCTTAACTTTTGCTGGTCGACCAAACATGATGTCTCTTGTACTAGACTTCGGTGCCGTCCTCCAACGTCATCGTTTTGCAAAAATCAAGGAGGCGGTACGCGTGACAATGCTTAACCTGTTTTTGCAATACACAAGGCAGTAAAAAGAAGGAATAAAATTGGGGCTCTCTGTCACGCGCGTAGCTTCTAAACGAAAGGCACTCGTTCACCCGAGGTGACAGTTTGAGTTGCGGGAACCGACGCGGCAGCCTGGAGGAGGCATCCAGGTTATCGTATAAACTTGCGATATCGCGATGTATCGTACGTGTATACATAATGTGTACACATGAAAATATTATGTGTATACGTTCCGTGGCGGATGGTGGTAGATATACGGTTCCGCGAGTCGGACGAGGAAATCGGGTCACGCCGAAATATTTTTCTGGACCCTTCCGGCATGCACCCTGGAAGGATAACCAGAGGGCGCATGCGTTTGGCGTAGCGACGGACCAAAGGACGCCTCGCTGAAATTTTCGTGTCAGCCGGGTATGCAAAGCACTCGAAGATGCCTACTAGAATTACGAACGCTTTGGTGCCTCTGCGTACGGGGTTCAGCGAGCATCCGAGTCAAGAAGATCGGGCTACACCATGAGAAAAACGAAAGGGAAAATTAGAGACGGTTGAAAGGAAGCTGCACGCTTTAATAGCGCCGCGATAGAGTGGTCGACTTAAAATGACTTTTAATTTGACGTTAACGCGCTTTTAATGTCCTCTTATTTAGCCACCGTGCCGCGGTTCCCAAGCGCGGATACGCGTTATAGGAAATTCAAGCAGAGGCGGGCAAAAACCTAGGCGATTTATAAACTGGTCTAGCGAGATCGATCGATGGTTACTTTACAGCACATATTGTAACTGGATGGATTATCGACAGCATGCCATTGAATTAAATCGTTTTTAGCCGCGTTAAATAACAGGCACGATTTCACGTTCCTGGATTCAGAATGCAATATTTTCATACGAGTGTACGTTTATGGCGAGTTCGCGGCAAAAAGATGAAGAAACGTGCGCGATACGGTAGAACCTCGATTACTGCGTGAAAGCATCGTTCGTTGGTGTTGAGAAATGGTTGGTACGGTCGCTAAGTAGCAAATAAGCTTGGGGTTGTAGAGGGGATAGACTGTGGGGTTGTCTCGATTATTGCAGGAATTCTGGGACCCGGTTTTTTGCAACAACCGAGGTCTTATTGTATTTGATTATATAGAATCTCCACAAAAATCGATATAAAATGTAACTTTTTTTAGTAAAATCTATGTTCGTCTGTTCACTCGTCAATATATTCCGTCATATAATTCATATATCTTCTCCTCTTTAATGTAAATTATTTTACATTAATAGCTTCGATGTAATCGCGAACAGCCGACCGAATGCGTCGATCACAAATAATAATTCGCTTTGTACGACTGATTCGTTATTATTGAATTATTAAACATCAGCGGGGATATCTAAAGCCAAAGGAAGATTGAAGTATAAAGAGCAAATGGAATAAATTGTACAGCTTCGATTGTGATTATAAAAACTAACGGTTATGAAGAACTTTGCATGCGGATAACTGAGATAAGAATTTTATACTTTAATAAGTTTTACCGTTATTGGGAGGGGAACCCATAAAATGTCATACTGACTTTAACATAGTTTTTTTTCTATATATTGAATTCATAGCCGTCCAAGGTTTAATATCGTTATTGCACATTCCAATCGATATCGATTTAATATCAAAACAGAGACTGCGATTTTTCCGCCCGCGGCACTAAAAACTGACATTTGATCTCGGAAATAACGCTAAAGTCTCGCGTCTGTATTGAATTTACTTTGCAAACGCAACTCTCTTGTTGTTTTCGTGGCTTAGAATTTCCTGGGTATCTTTTATACATTTTTGTTTTTTAATTCAGTCGCCCGTGGCTAGAAAATCTTTAACATTTTAAGTTCAACTTGGAAGGTTTGCAGTTTCTTTCTGCCTCTAGACACTGTTGAACAAAACGTAATCCGATTACGTTTGCCAAGATTACTTCTACGGAGCACTTACATTTTAAGTACACTGTTATTACGATTACAATTACAAGGAAAATAAATACCCTATAAATACAATATGATTGTAATGCAATTAGTAGAAAAAATGATGGCAAATTTAACCACAGAAATATCTTAAATGAGAAGATCAAATTATGCAAGATTAGAACTAGTTTATAGCAATTCTAAATATCTAAAATTGTGCAACCTTGCAAATGTAAGTAAATTCTTCGAGACATTGTGAAATATTTTCTAGGGAAGGTGGTACAAGAAGGGAACGAAATATTCTCAGGTATTGATGTATAATTGAATGTAAACTTGAAGGGAATTATTTATGTTGCATAAGCTCCCAATTCAACACCGTAACACCGTTAGTCTATACAGACACACTACTTTCGCTCATGCATTGTTTACGTTGTTTGAACTTCCTCTTCTTTAGTCTTCTGCTTTTTATTCTCGTTCACTCGCTAATTCTTACACTTTGCTCTCTGATCCTAACCATGACAGTTAGTTTCCGACATTTTAACTCTAATTGTTATCTTCAACGTCTCGTTGGCTCACCACATAATCAAATCAACATATACGCGTACACTTGTAAGGAATATCTCACGCGACTGCAGCCAGTTCTACCGTTCAAAAAATTAAAATTAAAATATAATAATATTGAATGCTTCGAATTTAAGAAGTTCTTTTCGATAGAACGAATAGCGAAAAATTTATTCGAGAATAAATTAATATGTTTTCGAGAATATTTGTTTATGAAATAAAAAAGAATGTTACACGAAGTCTAGCTAATTGATGGAATGTATTGAAAAAATACTAGAAACGAGTAAAGTTACTATTGTTGATAGATGATGATACGGAAAAGTTACTTACGAGTGGTTTTTCAACACCGATTCTATCATATTGGTGACGACAGACCAAATGAAAACGGATCCGTTCGAAGAACCGACTGCTATGTATTGGCCATCTGGACTGAAAGTTGCTCGTGTCCAATCGAAGCCGACTTTAAAACCGTCAGCACTGAAAACCAATGAAAATCACGTTTGCAATTAATTTCGATATAATTTCTAAAATTATTTTAACCCAAACCATTAATTAAATCGAAATTTCTCGCCCAATCGCCGATAGAGATCAAATTTACATTACTACATTTAGCAGATTTGTTTTATTAATTAACAAACGGTACACGTAATTGCGCATAAAACATTCAATAGCATTTGTAACCGTTTATTAATAAAATTAAAGCTCCTAATTGGTTAATAATAAACATTATGGTTAAATACATTAATTGTATACGAAATTCTATTTTATTACAGAAATAATTACATATATAATTGAATGAACAATAAAAAGGTCAAAGGAAGAAATAGATTTGGAGTCTGTCTGTCCAAGACAGGTTATTTCTACTTGTGTCCGAGTAGCAAAATATTGGGCATACATTGTGCAAATAACAGTCATTATTTACTCGAGTTATGCAAAACTCCACAAGTTGTAAGAAATGTAGATTCAATTTTCCATGAAAAAGTCTCAAGAAAATAATTCTACGATCAAAAACGCTTGGTTGAAATTAGAATAAGAATATCTTTTCTAAGACATTTTTCTTACCTAAACGATCCAATGATTTTCTTCATCCGCAGGTCTATAAGTTTCAGCGTGTCGTCTCTGACGCAACTCAAAAGGTAATTTGCATCTGAAAACAAGCAGGTGTTGCTCCTTGAATTTACATGTGTCGTCGATGTTGAAGTTAAATTGGATGTGCTAATACGGTTAGCCATGCAACTCGTGTACGAGCCAGTCCGCGTTAAATCGTTGGAAATTTGACACCATAGTCATGGATTCTTTTCAAACTAACAACGTTTGCGGATAGCTTCCAGCGCGTAAAGTTTTAGTTTTCTCGGTGGAACCGGTTTTCAGAGTATTAAGTGATAAAGCTTTAAAACTATCCGCCAATTTTAGTCGATAGTCCATCATTTCATATTTGCCATGTTTGTGCATGTTTTTGAACAGTGACAAAATATTTTGGATATTTAATTTCTAGTAACATACAAATGGCTTTTATTGTCGCAGATGAAATCATACTTCAAACACAAAGGTATGCAAACACTTGACTTAAGACATGCTTATATATTTTATCTACTGAGACTCAGTTATCTGTTAGATTCAGTTAGTCAAACATTATATTTCACATCATGTACGCCTAAACAAACACACTCAAATATACTCGGACGCACCACACGCGACACTTGCAGTTCGATCTGTGAAGTCTTGGTAATTTGAACGTTACGTTTAACACCTCCCACGTTCATAGTACCACATTAAAAGACGGTAAAAAGATTTGTGCACGTGTGTTTGTAATTTAAATAACTCAAGCACAAGCGTTTTCTATCCATAGTAATATTATTAATTACAAACTGAACCGGTATAATTGATTCTACTAAACTGTTAGTACGCAATAGAAGTTCCATTGCATGTCGAACGTTGTGTGTGATTTCTGCATGAGTGCACTGCCCCATTTCAACCGAGTAGCCAAACAGTTTTTGTACGAATGATTTTTTTCACAGATGGATAGATGCAGGATCTATTTGGCGGCGTGCTCGTTTCCTGGATATTTATGAAAAAGTTACCAACGAATCCGAGAAAACACTTGCAATATTTGAAACATTAAAAAGCTCAATGCAGGACGTCTTTACGTTTACATTTGTACCGAAGATAGCCATTTTGAGCACTTCCTGCGAAGCTAACCAGCTGCGCATTCCAGAAGTACAAAAATGGCTGCAACTCGGGAACAAGGTCAAATAGGGCACGCGATTAAATGAAATTTTCTCATTGTTTTTATGTGGATCTCTCGTTAGGATATAATTGTTAAAAATTTTGTCCCCAACAAAATATATGCATCCTACAGACAACTGAGTCTCATTTACAAATTACTAGAAATTAAATATTCAAAATATTTTGTCATTGTTCAAAAATATGCACAAATATTTCAAGATTAATTCCTTATACATAAGGTAGTATAATTAGGGACAGAAAATATAAAACACAGTACTCAGTAAAATTTTAAAACCGATTTTCTTGAGAACAGATTCTCGTACGAAAAAGTTTTATTCCATAATTTTTACTTGTGTTTTCTCGTAGAATCGTCCTCAATTGTTATATAATATTAAACGTTTTGAGAAACTGCTCCATAGATGGAGCTAAAAGTGCAGTGGTATTTGACGACTATCAACAAACGCTGCGAATTGGAAACGCGCCCGTGACTATGGTGTCGAATCTTGATCGGTTTGACGTGGAATGTCTCGTACGTGCCGGTAAAAGGATGATAAGCAATCGTTGATTAGGTTCTGATTCCATTCCGATCACGTTGCGAGGAAGTTTTCCGCGAGTTTCCGTTATTTGAGCAACGACAGTGGGGAAAGGCTTGGTACGCCTTGAAATGCAACGAGACGAATCCGTTAAGTAAGTAATTCCTTTTTGGGGCGAATAAATCTTATGGGGAGGCGTTCGAGAAAGGTATTCTGAATCTAGCGAACACGTTACCCGAGGAATGGTATATTATACTTTAATGGAAGTATACATAATGTATTACGGCCAATGATAAAGGAAAAGCATTAGAGCGGGCACGATGTAATCGAGCAGAATTTTTCAGTCGCTGCAATATCGTCTCATTCGAGTTCTATCCTCGCATTATCCAGATTAATGAAATGCGCCGGATCAATGTGTGTCTTTTGAAAGTATCCTTCAATTAGTGCGGCGAATTTGCAAGTGAAATAAACGCTTTGAGATACTGACGGAATATCGACTATCGTTATAATATTCCGACATAGTACGGATGTCCTACAAAATATTAAATCTTCCATGGAAAGTACTTTTAAACGTCGAATTTTCTTCGGTCTATCGATGAATTATGTAGTGCGTGTTCGAATCAAACGTGTTTGATATAGGTACGTCTACGGACGTAAATATTACATCAAAGTTAATGCGTTCGATGGAAAATCTTCTCAGAATCATAAAAGGTGAATCGTGTTTATAAGGTTATAGTTAATTCTTGAATTGGTAGTGTTTTTGATTAATATTAAATGCATCGTTCGAATACTTTAGCGACTGGCCATAACAGAACCATGTGCAATTCAATAAACTTTAAAATTTAAAGCATTGCTGAACCGAACAATAATTCACATTCATGAATCAAGTTTAGAGTATATCACCATTGCTTTTTAAAGTTATCTTTGCTGTAAAAGGTGAAAGTTAGCGCATTCGTGGTTCTGGCAGAAGAGGAACGATATAATATATCATCGAATTATTTTTTGTTAAATATTTATTGTAACTGAATGTGTAAAACTTACCACGAGACAGATCTAACGATGTCACTTTCCCCTCTAGTAGAATGTCATTTGAGCTGAATTCGGCTCTGGTGTCCCAGAATCTGATTCTTTGATCGAAATGACCGCTAATTATCGTAGATCCCTCTCCATCGGAAATGACGAGATCGTTGCAACTAGAACCGGCGAATTTAGTTTCTATACCTGCAACAAAACATTCGGCTGGAATCAGATAACGTTCGAAAATGTTTATCGGGAACTTTCAATATTTATGAATAATGTTTTATTCACGGTTGTTACTTGGCGTGGTCTGTGACTTCGTTGTCATACGGCCTGCCTATTTCTGTTTCAAATCATAAATATTAATTTGTAAGTTTTCTTCGAAAAGCTTCTTTAAGATTAATGGACTCAAGATGGATAAGTTTATCTGGATTCGTTGTTTTCCTTCAACAGTTTGGAAATTCTCATTGAATAATCTCGAACTTACTGTTTACCGAGCATTTTGAGAGCGAGCTTACGCAAACGATTTGGAATCACATTTCTCTCGAACGGTGCTTCAGATATCAAGGGAGAATTTGTGGTACACTATTAGTATTTCCAGGGTCTTTAAAGTATCCAGGTTTACGTTCAAGCTTAATCCTAATTGTTTACAAAGAATACATCGCCATAAATTTAAAAAAAATTAATTTTCTTAAGAACTTTCGAGAAACAAAAATAGAGTTCCCATTTCTCGAGGTATCAGAGAACACTACTGTTAAATGTTTTCAGAATTATTACGTTCACGTCAGGCAAATCGATTCGGACCACGTTCGTTGCAAAAAGAATCGAAGAAACAGTCTCGTTCCTCGGTCTGAAAATTCAATCGAAATGCGTCTCTCCACATTCACATAAAATCTGCTTACGTCGGTACACCTAAGTCGACGGGTATGATGCATCGCCACGAAGTAATAGGACACAGTAATTCCATCCTCATAGGAAGCACAGAGCCTCAAGCGATATCAATAACCGACGTATCGTTGCGGTAAATTCGACAGGCTAATTGATTGGCCGGTAAATCATGTTTGATTTAACGTAGACCAGTAGCAACAAACTAACACGATCGGTCGCAAACAAAATTCGCAAATGTACAAAGGGAGAGATCAGTCAGAAAGAGTCAACTATCGTTATTTATAGTTGCTTCATTGCGGTGGTCATCCACTGTATCGTCAAACAGTTGACGACAAAGCTCCCTCGTCATAGGAAAACAAGCTAGAGAGAGCTTTACGATAGTGGACGAGGCAGCAATTCGATAAAAATTTTATCAGCGTTGTTTAGTCATGACCGTCAAATGGAATTTCCACGTTAGTTACAGTATCGAGAGAGCAACTAGGAAAATTCTAAATAAACTTCCTGGTAGATAGAACATGACAATATAACCACAAGATTGACGAACGTTGTGGGTTAGTATCGGTTCAAATTTTTTTTCATATAAGTCTTTTAAATCGTGAGCAGACTAAATATTTTGTCTTTGTGCAAATTTTGCTACGAGCAGTAGGAATTCGTGATTTAAAAAATCGATAAGTAGAATCAGAAGCATCTGGACGCACATAATCCAGGTTTGGAAACTTCGAAACATGGAGTACGGTCGTGTTATGCTTTCGATTGAACCGAATAATGCTGTTCAAATGGAGAAGAAATTCAGTGTATTCAGAAATGTCGATATCAGTTTTGTCACTGTCAGGTTCAGTGCTGAAAGTATACAAAAGTATGTCATATGCTGCAAGGAAGTAGGTATGAAAGGCAGAGTAAAGATCAAGAAACCGCTGCTCATGAACGGATACAAGACGTTACACACGATTTCCAAAACGATGTGTTCGGTTTGTTACACGGTACAGAGGAAGTCTGTCGACGCAAAATAGATTGACTTGGAACCGATAGAAAAAAAATCTACGCGAAGGGGACGAAATGGAAAATCACAGAAACGACTCGTCGCTCCATCGACGAAATTTTTAGCGGGAATTTTGTGTAATAACCTTAATATTTGCAACGCGTGTGTTGATACTACGCGGATATAATATTTTATAAATGACACAGAATCTTATTTAGTCGAACAAATCGTAACACACACTGCTGGGGCAATCGAGTCTTTCGAACGATCGAACAATCATTTTATTTTTTAGTATGGAAATTCGAAAACAAATATAGCTTTGAAATTTGAATTTTCTTTCAATTTATCATTGCACGTGCATAGCCCTTTCTCAAAAGTTCTTTGTTACGTCTCTTTTGACAAAACCATTCGGCTCCAGTCGCGCCCAAATATTTATTACCCGTATATTTCATAGTCTTTTGAAATTTTTCGCTGAACCTTTACAATATTTTGTATTTATGATATATTGTATAATAGTTGTTTTTTACCAAATGTTAGCTACTGGATAATAAAAAAAACTCATACAAAGTATAGTCGGTATTAAAATTAAAAAGAACTTTTTCTTTTCTTTAATAGAGTTTCGTAAAGTGTTTTTAGTTATAGCTTGCTGGTTAAATTTCTAAGCGTGATTGCCATCCCTCTGGTATCTCTAATTTCGTGTAACGATATTTAGGGCGATATTCGGGCTTTTTTAGGAATACGAAGACGAAGACATGGGTACTGGAGCGTTAGGGGAAATTTTTCGCTGAACTTTTGCCATGAGTCTTTCATTTTGCTTCTCTGTCCTCTGATTCCATGGACGCTTGTTTTACTAATATTTTGTATTTGTGATATACTGTATTATAGTTTTTTTTTACCAAATTTTAGCTTCTGAATAATAATAAAAAAAACTCATACAAAGTATAGTCGGTATTAATATTAAAAAGTACTTTTTCTCTTCTTTAATAGAGTTTCGTAAAGTGTTTTTAGTTATAGCTTGCTGGTTAAATTTCTAAGCGTGATTGCCATCCCTCTGATTTCTCTAATTTCGTGTAACGATATTTAGGGCGATATTCGGGCTTTTTGAGGAAAACGAAGACGAAGACATGGGTGCTGGAGCGTTAGGGGAAGATCTGCAGTTTATGCGGTCCGTGGTTTCGATGTCAGAGCATATTCGCGTTGCATCAGCGTTCCTCAACGGCGCTGCGGAAACCAGTTGACGCGAACGTTATTTCCCGGCGTAAATTAAGTTTGAAATCCAGCTTATTGCGCCGTGGAAATCTATGGAAACAACTGGTCCGGGAACTACAATGGCAAAAGGGGAAACCAACCTCGACTTGTAACGTACTTTTAATAACAGCGTTAACTGGCGTGGCGCAACACTGCCTACCGTACGCTTTACTCGTATTTCAAAGCTCGATGAAATTGCACGATCCGGTTTCTTTGTTACTTTCCTTCGACACGGTTATATCGACGTTTTTGGAGCGCCACCGTTGCGAGGGCGTTGTTATACAATGAATAAATACGTAACAGGATGGTTTACTTTTCTTCGATAGCGCGACGGTGGTCTATGATTGCACGCCACAGGTTCTTTTTTGTTTTCACGTTTAAAAGGACACCATTTTCCTGTTTAGTCAATCTACAGGATGGATTTTAGAGACTGGGACAGACCTTCTCCGAATGAAGATACAACGAATTAATACACGAGGAAGTTGAATTCTCCGTGCGGGGACATGTTCTTAAGATATCAATTTTTTGTTTTGGTGCAATCATACGAGTATATTGAATGGAGGGGGAAAAAGATTCTACAGCGGTACGTACAGGGTGATTCTTGAAACTGGGGATTCCTTTTCTAAGCGAAGATACAACGGATTTGTGGATAATTTATTTTTAAAAAATAAATAAAAAATGTAAGACGTGTAATAAAATGTTCAAACGTTTATAGTGCGAAATGATCGGAAGTCGCATTTTCAATTTAAAAAATAAACGCGTGTCGCAGTTGCACCTTTGTGTCGCGTATCACCAAACGAAATAAAATTTCATTGATCGATTCTCGATACGAATTTTTTTATATCTTCCCTTGGAAAAGAACTACGAATTGCCGCAGTTTCTAAAATCACCCTGTATATACCATTCAACGCGAGACCGCAGCCTGTAGAATTTTTTTTGCTTTCAATATACAGGTTTTCCAATCAGTGGCGGGTTGTTCTATATGCAAAAGAATTGGCTGCCTATTGCTGCTATCAAAGGGACTCCCGAAAACAATGTTTCAGAACACCCAGTCGTTAGTCGTATATGAAATATCTCTTAAGGGGGGAATTTTATATAACGTAATAATATTACAATCCTAGAAAACCATGAATTATTCTTCATTTTCAAATACTAATAATTATAAGTAAAAAGATAACTGACGTTAAGTAAAACCAGAAAAACTCTTAACTTTCCAGGAAACACGCGGTCGTGTATGTGCACAAATAAAAAAAATTATCGTTGCATTGTTAAATTGATTTTTGATATTCGTGCTATTTTGCTGAAATATTTATACGATCAAAAATTGTAAAAATAACGATAAAAGAAAAATCTTGTTTACACGGAACGATATAATTGCGTAATGCTGCGTGCGCATCGAGATTTACCATTTCCGTGTGCCAATTTCCTGAAAACTGTTTTGCAAATAGATGCAAGATAAGCGAGTGGGCAACGAAATTTCCTTCGAAGTATGCCAGCGCGTAGCAGGGAACTTGTCAATCCATTTTCTACCTCCGTGGCACCATACGGACACGAAACTTGATTTATAATCGCACGTTAGATGACTTGCTTGCACGCTAAAAATAGAATAACTACTAAGTACCATGCACGGTGAATCCTTTTAACGACAAACTGTATACGAAATTTCCTCGCAACGAGGTAATGAATAAATATTCCTAATTCACCGAGCTTATTTGCGAACGTTAACGATGATTACGCGGTTGAATCCTAATGATAATGCTGGTAGAGTACGAACATTACCACAACAAGCAACCGCTTGGGAAGAGCTAACGTACCAGAGAAAAGCCAAATGAATTCAGCCACCAACACTTATTGTTAGTTGTAGTTCCTGGTATTTAACCCTTTGACACAACAGAGGAATTACTTAAGACTAGTTTCAGGGCTATCAATCTTAAACAGATTTTCTTTATCCGTAACATAATCAGAGTTCTCTTGTTCTCACGGCAGGTGTTGTTTATTATTTTCTTCGCCCGTTTTTTCGATAGATTAGTCTAATAATATTACATTATTATACGGACTACTTCGTACATATTTATTATTTTCTCTGCCT